ATTCCAGACAGAGGGAGGTGACCGTCTCATCCACTCTCTGCTGGTGAGCCCACATCTGGAAAATGGTGTCTAATTCTGGGCACCACATAGTTTAAGAGAGAGATTGTCTAACAAGAACATTTTAAGGTGTAAAGTGTTTAGAAGTGGCTCATATTGGGAGGAGGTTAAAGAAGACAGTCACTTAGGCATGCCTGGGTAGTTCTCCTCAAGTAATTGAAGAGTGGGCACAAGACAGCTGTCTTCATTGGTCCTTGTGTAATATACAGTAAAAAAAAAAAAAATCACTGCTGTCGAGTCAAATCTGACTCATAGCAACCCCTCCTTGGGTTTCTGAGGTGGCTAAGGCACTTGACTGCTAACCAGAAGGCTGGCGGTTCAAACCCACCAGCCACTCCTTGGAAGGAAGATGGGGCAATCTACTTCCGTAATGATACTGCCTCGGAAACCCAAGGAGGGGTCGCTATGAGTCGGGTCCGACTCGATGGCACATAACAACAACAACAACATCGCTACATAAGTAAATTACCCAATCTTCCTTCCGAGTAGTGGCTGGTGGGTTTGAACCACCAAACTTCTGGTTAGCATTCAAATGCCTTAGGCACTATGCCACCAGTAGAACAAGTTAAAGGATCCCTGAAGAGGATGAAGCTTCTTTGCCCAAGTTACGAGTTCCTAATTATTGGAGATGTTCCAGAAAATCATGGAACCAAGTTTATAGAGGATAACTTTGTCATCCCAAGTGGGAATTTGGAACAGAAGACTTCTGAGGTGAATGCCATTTGAGAGATTCTGAATTGTGTCCTAACTCTCCTCCCTCCAGTTTATCTCCTTCTCCTTCCTGTTTCCACCTTCTGTCCTAGCTCACACTGAGGACAGAGCACACATGTACATGGACACACATGCACACACACACAGTGCACACACGAGGGAGGTAAGGCAATTCAGAAAGGAGAAACAGTGGAGGTACTGTGAGAGGAAGGAGCAGGAGGAACAGAAAGGGAGGGGTGGAGAAGAAATAGAAAGGAGGCAAAGTCAAGGAAAATGGAAGGAGAGAGGGGAGGAGGAGGTCCAAGGGAGAAACTGGAGAAGAAGAGAAGAAAGAAGCTACAGAGGAAATAATGAAGGAGAGAGAAAAAGGAAGGAGAGAGATGACATTAAAAATACAAGGAAAAGTGTAAGAATGAAGACGAGGGTGTGTGGGAGAGAAGAAAGACAGGGAGCGGGGAGAAAGTGAGGAGGGAGAAGAAAGGAAGGAGGAAAAGGAGACAAGGCAGTGAGGGGAGGGGAGAGGAGGGGAGGAGAGGCAGGTCTGCCAGGAGCCTGTGGAGTCAGGAGTTTGCGCTCCCTCAGCGCCCCAGGGCAGCACACGGGTCATCTTGAATCACAGCTCATTTGGAACTTCCTGTTTTCAGCCTGTCTTTGTGAAACCTTGGAGAGGTTTTCAACCAGTAAATACAGGGGAGTGCCAAGACTCTCTCCACAGGCCAGCAGCCATTTCACCATCCCTGTTGGCTGCGCCTCCCAAATGTCCCATCACCCCACCTGCCCTTTCTAGCCTGAGGACCTACCCACCATCCCCTCCAGCTCCCACCCACACACCCACAGCTCCAGGCCACCTTGCTCCTTCCTCAGGGCCCCTGACCTCATGATGTTCGCAAGGGCCCATACTGGAAGCTGTCAGCCATGGAACATACAGAAACAGCTCCAAGCCTTTACCAAAAAATTCACCTTATAGGAGAAGGCTCCCTGAAATATATTCACTTGTCCTTTTCCAAGTTGTCTTATTTTTCCTTCCATCCCCCTTTCCCCTCCCAAGTGCCAGCAGGTCTTGTATCCAGCCTCCTTATATTCAATGCAGCAGACACACACCAAGCATCTATGCTGTGCCAGGCCCAGGTGTGACACCTGTGAGTGTGTGAGTCTCATTATCTGTCCTTAAGAAGCCCACCATCTAATGGGGGGACAGAGATGGCCGGACCCAGGGGTGGATCTGGGTTTTGTGAGACCAGACTATATACACTTTGGGGGCCCTCAACATGTGGCCTCCATCTTGAGGCCCAGATGGCTACTCCAGTTCACACCCTCGTGTTCACATCCCAGCCAATGAAAGGAAGTGAAGGGGAAGATACTCTTCCATCTTAACAGCACCACCCAGAAGTTGCTCACATCATGTCCACCCATGTTTTTATCAGCCAGAACTTGGACACTTGCTCACATCTAACTGGTAGCATAGTGCCTAAGTCACTTGACTGCTAACCAGAAGGCTGGCGGTTCAAACCCACCAGCCACTCCTCAAGAAGGAAGGTTGAGCAATCTACTTCCATAGTGATACTGCCTCAGAAACCCAAGGAGGGGTCACTATGAGTCAGGTCCGACTCGATGGCACATAACAACACGACAACAACTATAAGGAAGACTGGAACAAAAAAAATCTTTCGATGAGAGACCAGGTGCCCAGCTGAAACTTAGGAGTCCATTTACTAAAGGGACAGGAAAGGATGGACCTTGGAGAACCAGCAGTCAGAGCTTAGCAAGCGTGATGAGCAACCCCCAATTCCAGTGCCCAGGGAAAGTCTCTAAATTGTACCTCCCCCAATTCAAGCATCCAGGGGCTATCTCTAAATTGTACCAGCCCAATATGAGCACCCAGGGGCAGTCTCTAAATTTCACACACCCCCAATTTGAGTGCCCAGGGGCAATCTCTAAACTCTGTCCCCCAATTTGAGCACCTAGAAGCAATCTCTAAATTGTACCCCCCAATCCCAGTGGCCGGGGCAATCTCCAAATTATACCAACCCCCAATTTCAAGATGAATAGACATTGATAGCAGGCTACCTCAGCAGAAACGCCCTCCTCCATCCAGTAGGGCTGACTCAGTCAGATGCCTTTCATATTCGTGACTCGATACTGCCACAGGGTCTAGAAGGAAGAAGTGGGAAAGCTGATGAGTTTGGAAAGTAGGACACTCTCACCTGGCCACTTTCAGTTTCTCTGCACAGTGACTCCTAGTCACCACTGGGAGAGAGGCTGGGCGCTCATGGAGAAAGGAAAGGTTTGCCAACCCTGGTCTCATGGGCGTCTCTCTCCTTCACTGTGTGCAGTCCCCACGGGGGACAGCGGCAGGCACCTGTAACAGGTGAGCCTTCGGAGTTCTGGGTTGCACACCTTGCTGTCTGCTTCACTGCTCTCTGGTCGTGGGCAAGGCAAGAAACCTGTTTCCCCATTCAGGAAATGGCCATAATAGCGCCTACCCTGCCTGGGTCAGCAGCCAGTTTCTGGCCGCTGGGAGAACTATGCACATGCTGTATAAGCTGTGTGGTTGGTGCAAACTCAGGTAGGCATAATTAAGACATTGTCAGGGCAGCACTGAGCCTTGAAGGGCAGGCAGAAAAGGGCTAGGAGGAGAGGTGGGAAGGAAAGGACCAACCCCACCCCTCTCACCCAGGCAGATCCTCCCACCCAGGCTGCACGGCACCCTGCCCCTCAGAGCAGATCTGGGCCCTGCCCGCTCTGGCCCAGCATCAGAACTCCTCTGCCGTCCGGGTGAGGGTGATGGGAGGAAGTGGACAAGCAGGGCCCCACAGGCAGCAGGAGGGGCAGCCTGCCCCACTGTCTACAGCCGCGGAGTCAGCCTCTGTTATGTCTGAGATGGCTATCGTGCAGCTCTGGCCTTCATCCCTGCGCTTGGCCTCTGAGGCCTCCTGGGACCTCTCCCTGACCCCAGGGCATGGCCCAGTGTTCCTGGCCTCAGCCCATGAAATAGCTCGAGCTTCTCTCACACGCCTCTGGCCAAGTAGGGCTAACTAACCTTGTGCAGTGCATGCTCATGTATGTACATGCTCACAAACACACACCCCACGTGCACACACAAAAATGACACACACATACACATACACAACACACACGAAAAACACTCACCACCCACAAATACGTCACACTCTGTACTCATCACACGCACTATATGAACACCCAAAAAACATACCACAAACATAATATACAACACAAATCACACATACGCAAACATACCACATACACATATATCACGGACTGCACACATCATAAGGAACTCTGGTGGCATAGTGGCATAGAGGATAAGGCTGCTAGCCAGAAGGTCAGTGGTTCAAAACACACCAGCCACTCCGTGGAAGGAAGATGAAGTGATGTACTTCTGTAAAGATTTACCTCCTCAGAAACCCAATGGGGGTTGCTGAGTCGGGATTGACTCAATGGCAGTGAGTTTTGTTTTGGTTTTTGATTTACACACATCATACACACTCACATACCATGCACACCATACACACATATACTGTATACATGCATCTCCCACAAACTCCCCACACGCATACACACACACAGCACACACATACGCAATACACACATCCTTCTTTCTAATCTGCCTCCCTGTCTCCCGTATAACGCCCCTCCATTCAGTCCTCTAACCACTGCTTGAGTGATTTTCCTAAAAAACAAGTCAGGCCACTTCCTGGCTTAAGCTTCCTTTCCTCCCCCTCAATGGCTTTCGACACTTCAGGAGGAAATTGGAGCTTCTTACCAAAGCATTTGGGACCCCCCACGATCCTGCCAGCCCACCCTCCTGCCCACTGGGCCAGTCTGAACCAACTGGCCTTCCCGCTGCACCCTGAGGTCTCGCTCCAGTGCCTTTGCACATCCTGGCTCCTCTCCAAAGAACACTCCCAGCCAGTCCATCTGGAAACCATATTCATTCTTCTAAACCCCATTCAGACCTTGCTTCTTCTCTAAAGATTTCCTTGATGACCCCAAGTGGAATTTCTCACTCCTTGTTCTATATATACTTTGTACAGGTATGTATCAGAATGACTTATTTCCTGTGCCTGCCTCCCCTGCTAGAAAGGCGGCCTTCTTAAAGCTAGGGATCATGTCCCATTCATTTCTATCTGTTGAGCACTAGGTCCTGGCATTGAGTAGGTGCTCAGTGAATGCTGGCAGGTGGCACTCACCCCCCTCATCCTCCCACACAGATTAAAGTGGAAAACCAGCATGACTACCAGGACATCACCAGCGTGATAGCCATGGCCAAAACCTACGCCACCACTGAGGCCTTCATCGACTCCAAGTACGACATCCGCATCCAGAAAATTGGCTCCAACTACAAGGCTTACATGTGAGTCCCTGATGCAGGACTGGGGGAGCTGGGAGGAAGGATGGAGGGAGAGTGTGGGGAGAAGGGAGATGAGAAATCCACGTCTAGCCTGCTTCTCTCCTCCCTCTGGACCAGGGCAGTGATCTCCATCATTACCCTCCCTGCCTGTCTCCCTTACTGCCTGCTCTGGCGGGTGCTGCTGAGGGCTGATGTTCCGTTACAGCTTATGCAAGGGTAGGACTCTGTCGACCTCAACATAGGCTGCGGCCCCAGAGGAAGAAAGATCCTTGGCATGTTGGGGAAACTGCAAGTATGTAGGAGAAATTTGTTACAGGAGCTGAGACTGGAAGAGAAATTAGGAGACAAATCACGGAGGGCTTTGGATGCCCTGCGAGGGGGTTTGGGTTCTTTACTCCTCTGAGCAGAGAGGCAACATGATCCGGCCTGTATTTATAAGAAGGTTCCTCTGAGGCTGTGGGCTACAAAGGGGTTTCCCTGGAACCAATGAAACCAGGTAGAAGGTTATATCAGATTTCTCTAGCCACAAGCAACAGAAACCAAATACGACTTATTTAAGGGGTGTTTGTTGGTTTGTTTTAAAAAGAATGTCTTAGAAGAGTGTGTTGTTGTTGTTATGTACCATCCACTCAGACCCAACTCGTAGCGACCCCTCCTTGGGTTTCCGAGGCAGTATTACTACAGAAGTAGATTGCCCAACCTTCCTTCCAAGAAATGGCTGGTGGGTTTGAACTGCCAGCTTTCTGGTTAGCAGTCAAGTGCCTTAGGCATTATGCTACCAGAACTCCCATAGAAGACTCTGGGTGATCAGAAACTTAAACAAATGAGCTGAACTAGCAAACTTAGAAAGATTAGGGTCCAAGGAAGGCCCAGAAATCTGAGAAGTCAAGTGTAGCAGACAATCTTTGGCACCCCCATTGGGAAAAGAATCTGCCCTCATTTTCCAGTGCTTGACTCAAGATTCTGATCCACAGACATAGCACTCATTGGTCCAACATTGGTCGCATGTTTATTGGTTGGAGAAAGGCAGAAAATCAGCGTGGGCAGTCCTACCAAGATGGCAAGCAATGTGTTGAGGTCATTCTCCAATGGAAACAGAAGAGCTCTAACTAAAGAGAAAGAAAGAAATGGATGCCAAGCAGAAACAATAGCACATATTCACTGCAGAGGTGGTTCAGGCAAAGGATGATTTGCACTCAAGTCATGATTATAAAGATCAGGAGAGAGTTCTTGAGTAGGTGTGAGGTCTCAGTCTTTAGAAAGATCTAATCTGCTCCAGGGCTTCCCTGTCTATGACTTCAGAATGTGGTTGTTGGTTCCACATGAAATAATAAGACCTTAAAGAGACAAGAGCATTTATGAAGCATAGTCGTATGTATGAGGACTGCAATGGCCAGCTGGACACTTGTTGTTAGGTGTTGTCAAGTCATCTTGGACTTACAGTGACCTTATATACAACAGAACAAAACACTACCTGGTCCTGTGCCAGCCTCATGATCCTTGCTATACTTGAGCCCATCATTGTAGCCACTGTGTCAATCCATCTTGTTGAAGGCCTTTCTCTTTTTCATTGACCCTCCACTTTACCAAGCATGATATCCTTCTCCAGGGAATGGTTCCTTCTGACAATATGACCAAAGTAGGTGAGACGAAGTCCGGCCATTCTTGCTTCCAAGTCGCATTCTGACTGCACTTCTTCCAGGACAGATCTGTTAGTTCTTTTAGAAATCCATGGTACTCTTGGCATTCTTTGCCATGACCACAACTCAAAAACATCAACTCTTCTTTGGTCTTCCTTATTCATTGTCCAGCTCTCGTGTGCATAAGAGGTGATTGAAAATACCTTGGCTTGGTTTAGGTGCACTTGGAAGTCTCTATCCATGTGCCTCGGTGCCATGTAGCTTGTGCTCCAGGGTCAGCAAACAGCCTGCAGGCCACGTCCAGCAGCAACCTATTTCTGTATATAAAGTTTTACTGAGCATTGCTGTGCTCTCTGGTGGTGTACTGCCTAAGGCATTTGACTGCTAACCAGAAGGCTGGTGGTTCAAACCCACCAGTCACTCCTTGAGAGGAAGCTGAACAACTATTTCCATAGTGATAACCACCTCGGAAACCCAAGGAGCGTTTACTGTGAGTCGGATTGACTCAGTGGCAATAAGTTTTAATGGCTGCTTTAAAAGGAGCCCTGGTGGCACAGTGGCTATGGCATTTGACTGCTAATCAGAAGGTTAGCAGTTCAAACCCACCAGCTGCTCCACAGAAGGAAGATGGGGCAATCTACTTCTGCAAAGATATACTGGCTTGGAGACCCAATGGGGGTCACTATGAGTCGGAGTAGACTCAATGGCAGTGGTTTGGGTTTTGGTTTGTTGGCTGCTTTTGTACTACCTGGACGGCCTAGACCATGAGTTGGTAAACGTTTTCTATACAAGGACAAAATAGTAAATATTTTAGGTTTTGCAAGCCATAGGTCTCTGTCTCAACTACTCAACTCTTCCATTGGCTGGGCAACTGGAGGAGATGCAGGAAGTTGACCTATAAGAAAGTATTATGAGGAAAAGAATGGAGCCAGTTCTCAAGGAATGCTTCTGCCCTGCTACAGTAGTTTGGGCAGTCACCTTCTCCCTCCCATGAGCCTGGCCAAACCTGTCACTGTTCTCAGATGCCCTTGGGGTGATGCTATCTGCTCATCTCTTTCCCCAGCCCCTGAATTGTGGCACATCCCAGTGCAGCAGTCTTGATGCCTTCCTGAGGCCCCACCATCAGTATGTCATGATGTCATTTCCCCCATCTCCTCACTGCTAGAGGTTCCACTTGACATTGACAGCACCTTGCCCCAGTTTCTCTTCTTGAGGATTACCTCATTGCTGCATTCTCTGTGCTGAGCCTCTCAGGCCTGACACCTCCAGTTTGTCATTAGTTATGGCATTTCCTGGACCCTGAGTTAGTCCATATCTGAGGGAGGGGGTCCATGTCAGTCCTTTGCACAGAACGTCCTCCCTGCCCCTGACCATTCAACCTCCTCTTTGACCCACTTCCTGCCCTGCCTGTGAGCTTACTGCTACTGAAGTCTCAATGTTACTAGCTCCTCTAAGCAAACAGAGCTTGAAAATCAATGCATGTATCCTAAGCCCTGTATACACACATGTTCCTAATTATTCCAATATATAGCCATCTATATCTGTATTAAGGAGCCCTGATGGTGCAGTGGTTAAATGCTCAGCTGCTAACTGAAGGGCTGGCAGTGCGAACCCATCCAGTGGCTCCATGGGAGAAAGACCAGTCAATCTGCTTCTGTAAAGACTACACAGCCTTGGAAGTCCTGTGGGCCATTTCTACTCTGTCCCATGGGGTTACTATGAGTCAGAAGTTGACTCTGTGGCACAAAACAACATTTCCATGTTGGGGATAGTGGTGGCTCTGTGGTAGAATATGCATCTTCCATGCAAGAGACCCGGGTTTGATTTCTGGCCCTTACCCCCTATCACCCAGCTGTGAGGGGAGGCTTGCATGTTGCTATGATGCTGAACCGGGATTAGGGAAGCTTCCAGACTAGGATGGACTAAGAAGAAAGGGCTGGTGCTCTACTTCTGAAGAACCAGCCAGTGAAAGTCTTATAGGTCACAACAGTCCGACCTTGCTGTACGTGGCATTTCCGTGAGTCAGGGGCCAACACCACAGCAGCCAGCAGCATGTCTATATTAAGCTAAATACAAGTTCATATTGAGGTCTCCAACTTTCATCTGGTACTACCTGGTTCATTTTAGCCTTCCTTCCTCCCTTGTTTACCTGTAACTTCCACTTCAGCAGAAACAAATCCTCTCTCCCACCATATATCATCCATTTAGTTACTTGTTCGATTCTACTATTCAGAAATCCTCACAACTGGACCAATAAGCATGAAAAATGGAGAAAAGACTGAAGTTGGCAAGGATTTCAGTTGACTTGGATCCACAATCAACATCCATGGAAGCAGCAGTCAAGAAATCAAATGATGTATTGCATTGGGTGATATTACCAGGAAGGACCAGTCCCTGGAGAATAAAATGTTTGGTACAGGGTCAGTGAAAAAAAGGAAGACCCTCAGCAAGATGGATTGACATTGTAGCTGCAACAATGGGCTGAAGCATAGCAATAATTGTGAAGTTGGCACAGAACCAGGCAGTGTTTCATTCTGTTGAACATAGAGTCACTATGAGTCAGACCCAACCTAATGGCACCTAACAACAACATTGGCCACTGTGTCTTCTCAGCATCTGTCCTCTGAAACATTTCATTTTCTTTTTTTTAGGACAGATTTTTGTGACAGTTCCTCTTCCCTGGTTAAATCTTAGGCAAGTGCCTTCTCTTGGCCACAAAACCAATGATAGCATTATCTGTGCCACTTTGGCTAAACTTGTTCAGGTTAAATTTTGCCAACTCCAGCTGTGTCAGAGGGCCACGAGGAAGCTGGGTGGATCCCACCCCACATAACCCTCACCCAGTCAGTAGTTACCGGGCACCTACTACATGCCAGGGCCCTTCTGGGCACTGGAGGTATAGGGGGTAAGCCAAACAGGTCTCCTGCCCTCAGGGGCTTCCACTCCATCAGGGGAGACAGTATAATGTTGCAGTCATTACAAATGAGATAAGCATTACTGAACATTTGCATAGGGTGTACCCTTGGCCAGTCTACTGTTGTTGGGGAAGGCAGACAGTCAGGAAGTCACAGGTCAGATGAAACCTGATGAGTAGGAATTGGGGGGCAAAGGCAGAGATGAAGATTGGGTTTGGAAAGGGAAGAATGTGTGGAGGCCTTGATATAGCAAAGAGCCTTGGGCATTGGAGAACCAGGAAGGTCAGTTGTTGCTGGAATAGAAAGGGCGAGGGAACAGGGCAGGGCAGTGGAGCAGGCAGAGGCCGTTAGGCCTTCCAGGTCCTCACTGGGGAAAAGTCATTGCTTCTCTCCATGGATCATTTTTCCTAAATTTTGAGGCTCTCAAAAAATTCCAGAATCACCTCAGACTACAGGGCCCTCGTTCTCCTTCTCAAAAACAGGAGGCCAAGGTTTGGGGCATTTCATATGATAATGCAGGCACCTTTTTAATTTCATCTTTAAGTTTCAAAGATGACTTAGAAAAAGATACACAAGAGAAAATGAGTTGATAAAGCAGGCAAATGAAGAGCTATAAAAGCAGAAAAATAAAGCTGAGAACAGGGTATGTACCTAAGAATTCATGCCATAATGTGAGCCAGACATTTGAATCTGAGCCTCCTAACAGTCAAAACAAAAAAGGAAGGCAGATCCATGACAAGTTCCATAATGCCCTCAGCTGTGTTTTTTGTTCGGATACAGGAGAACCTCAATCTCTGGAAACTGGAAGGCCAACACAGGCTCTGCCATGCTGGAGCAGGTGGCCATGACAGAGAGGTAAGAGACAGAGGAGGCATGGGGACAGGCACCATCCATGGTGGGAACTGGAGGAGGATAGATCAGGAGCCTCCTCACCCTCTGTCCAGTGACCCACAAACCACTTTCCTAAGCAAGATCTCCTTTACTCCCCACAATACCCTGCAGGGTAGGTATTATGAGTAACTCCGTTTGACATGTGGAAGAGGCAAGTACAGAGAGGGGAAGTGACTTGCCTGGGGTCTTGAAACTGATCAGTGGCAGAGCTGAGAGGAGAACCTGATGTCTTGGCTCCTACTCCAAGGGTCTTCTTGGCTCTGCCCAGCTGCTTCTGGAAGAGAGCAGGGCGCCCACACCAGTCTCCCTGTGCTCTGACAGATGCATGGGAGCATCCTTATTAGGGCACCAGGGGTGCTGAGAGGCCACCCCTCCGTCTCTCCATCTCAGTATGAGTAAGGAGAAGCTGATTCCCTGTGAGTGTCTCTGGAGTGTGCCCTGTCTGAAGATTCCAGGACAGAGGCCCCCTCTTACTTGGTGTACCGTAAACCCTGTTGTGTGCCACACTTGTCTGCAGAAGGCCCCAGTCACCTGCCTGTCACCAACATACAGACATTCTTTGCTGCGTGCTGGGTGACCTCTGCTTGTAAGTATGTAATGGTAGTGGACAGAGCCTGGATAGAGGACCTACGGCATGCCAGGTTGTGCTGAACAATAAACAGGCCTCAGGGCAAAGAACCCTGTGTAAGTTACAAATGAGTCCGTGCCTAGTGCAAGTGGTTAACATGCTGGCTCACCTGCCACTTCCTAGCTGTGTGACCATAGGTAAATCAACTAACCTTCTGAGCCTCTTCAACTGTAAAAAACAAAACCAAATCCACTGCCATCAAGTCAATTCCAACTCATAGCAACCCCCATAGGGTTTCTAAGGCTGTAAATCTTTACAGAAGCAGACTACCTCTTCTTTATCCTGCAGTGCAACTGGTGGGTTCAAGCTGCTGCCATTTTGTTTAGCAGCCAAGTGCTTTAACCACTACACCACTAGAGCTCCTTTCTTCAACTGTAAAAGGGGGATAGTAATGGGCAAGTCAGAGTGCTATTTGAGGATTGAGTGAGAGAGGGATATATGGGGAACCCTAAACATTGGCCTCCTTCCCTTCCCATCAACCCCAGGTAACAGACACTTCTTCAATCTTGGGACTCGCATATGCTAACTGGTCTCATGGGGATTGTTCTCATTATCTGGTACATTGAAGCACCTGGGCTAAGGCAGTCACATCCCTCCCCCAGTGGACATTCATGGGACAGTTGTGGCCCTTTCCACCATAGCCTTTCCCAAATAAGAATCCTAGCCTTCCGCAGCACCCACCAGCTGCTCACGGATGTCACCCACAGGCCACCGTCTCCCTGGCTCTACTGGATCCCAGTTCACATGGAACATTCCTGCAGGATTCTGGCAAGGGAGCGGAACTGCTCAGGCCTGGAATTCACTTTCCCTGCTGCCAAGTCCCAGACAGCACTCGGGAGCGGGACTCAGCTCCCCAGTTGCATTCCCACAAGGATGCAGTGCCTGAGGTCCATAAACAGGCCCTGGGCCTGACCCCTCACCCCACTTGGTTCACCTGCTAGCCAAGTAGCCTGCTTCCTGGGCCAAACCAGTAATGTGGTTTGGTTGGTGTTAGTCCCAGCTGGCTGGAGGGAGTACAGACCCTATGTTTACAGCTTCCCCCACACTGCTCCAACCCTGAGGTCCCTTCCTGGACCCTGAGGGAGGCCTGGAACCCAATGGGATACAGCCAGCAGGTGACCTGGAAGTTCATGGTTTATAAACAACCACTGGAAACCAGTTGCCTGTGGGTCTAGCTCTAGGCTTCCAGCTTCTATTGAGAAGAACTCTGATTTATCAGTGCATCTGGGGATACAGATTTCCCTAAGCTGGGATGCTCCACAGGTTAGCCATTAGTGCCAAGTACAGAGATCTGATCAGAGAGTGCAGGAGGCCCTAAGAGTTCCAAGAACCAGAAATGCACCCCAAATCTGGCTGCACATCAGAATCATATGAGAAGCCTTTGAAAAGTAGAAAGATTATTCTAACGTAGGACAAAGCTCTGAATCTGGGGGTGTATGTGCATATGTGTGTGTGTGTGAGAAAGAGAGAGAGAGAAAGACTCATGGTGGTTCTGATGCACCTACAGAAGCAGAGCTAGGCCTCCCCATTTTACAGATAAGGAAACTGAGGCTGCAAGGAGAAGCTCACCCAATAAAAACCCCGTGGAGCACAGTTCTACTCTGGCTCATGGGGTTGCCATACGTCGGGGTTGACTTGCCAACAATGGTTTTCTTTCAGTGGGCATCCTTGGACTCTAGAATCCAGCCTGGGTTGGAGAACTCTCTGAACCTCAGTCTCCTCATCGGTCAATGAGTTAAAACCTTCCTGGTTGCATTGGTCTGGGCTTAGAGAGAAAGAGGAGAAAGGTTCCTCAAGCCTGGACATGGTAGGCGCTCAACAGGCGTGAGTTTCCTTCCTTCGTTTTAATTCTGTCATCTCGCGTGCTCCTCACTACGGTTGAAGGAGAGAACTGGACACGGAGCCAGGAGATCTGGATAATCCTGCCTTGCTCTGTGACCTGGGCAAGCCGCTGTCCCCCTCTGGGCCTCAGTGAGCATTGTGGGTGAGATAAGAAGGGTGGTTCTAAGACCACTTCAGGCCTTGACCTCTCCTAATTCGAGCTCTTAAGGCTCAGAGACACAAATAGATCTCAGAGCAGCATGCCCCGCGTGACCCTGGAGAGTGGGGAGAGAAGCAAGAACGCGGACACAAAGTCCCCTGTGACTTTTCAATCCAGGCACCACAAGAGACACCAAGTGCAAGCCGGGAAGATTTCTCTGGATACAACCACCCCCTTGTTGCAGGTCAAAGTCCAGCTCTGAGATCTCTCCCCTGCAAAGTAAACTGGCCTTGCAGCGATGAAGTGCCTGGACAGGGAACAAAAGCCATGGGGTCTTGAGGGCCAGGCCCCCTGGGCCAGGCAAAAGCAGCCTGGCAGGCTCCCCTCCTGCCCGGCTGAGGCTCCAGGGACAATGTGCTCTTTGTCCGCCACCAGCTCTAGTCTGACCTGAGCCCTGGGGGCTGGGAGGGCAGCTTGGGAGCCCTTGGAGCAGCTTTCCCAAGGGAAAAGGGTGCAGGGGCGGCCAGGTGTCCCATTGGCTCCAGATGGGGCCAGAGCAGGCTGGCCACTACTGGGGAGCCAGCAAGGTGAAGGGGGTCTGTGATCCCTCCCAGCTCTCACTCCATCTCTCCCTCATCCTTCCTGTCTCCTGTCCTTCCTGGCCCCCTCAGGTCCCCTTTTCTGTCCTCTCCCCTCTCTCTGTCTCTGTCTCTCCCTTTTCTGTCCTCTCTCTGTCTCTGTCTCTGTCTCTCCCATCAGTGTCTCTGCCTCCCTTTGTTTTATTCCGTCTTCCCTCCTCTCTCCTCTCCCTCCCCTCCCTTCTTCTCTCCTTTCTCTGTGTGTCTGTCTGTCCCACTGTCCCTGCCCCTCTCCGTCTCTCCCTGGGTGTGTGCTATCACTGTCTCTCTGTGCCCTCTCTCTGCCTTTTATTCACTCTGGGTCTGTGTGTCCCTCCACGCCTCTGTCTCTGCCTTCACTCCCCTCTTTCCTGCCTTTTCCCAGCACTCACTGTCTGTCTCTCCATCCCTGCAGGTACAGGCTTTGGGTGGACAGCTGCTCGGAAATGTTCGGTGGCCTGGACATCTGCGCTGTCAAAGCTGTCCACAGCAAGGATGGCAGGGATTACATCATCGAGGTAAGGGGCAAAGCAGTGGGTCCTCCCCACCACCCCCCAGGCAGGCAAGCCAAGGGAGGGGATCCAAGCTGGGGTCTCCAGCAGCGCTCGGTGGTGTCCTGGCTCAGGGCCTGGGCACACACAGCCCAAGCCTCAGTGAGGAACTTCTGGAGGCTTCTACACTGATTGCCCTCATGCCCCTCCGCCTCCTCCCCGTCAGCTGCGTCACCAGAGCAATTGCCCAGGGGTTCTGACCTGGGCCTCCAGAGCCCATGGCATGAGGTTTGACAGCGTTTCCCCAGCCTGTGGCCTAAGGGTGGGAGAAGAGCATCAGGCCGAGTCAGCAAGATTCTGTCCCCCTGGGTCTCTTAAATTTCCACGTGTCAAACAGGCACACTTCTCTGGTCACCATTCAGAGATTCCATCGTTTGTTCATTCAATAAACATGTACTTAGGAGTTGCCATGGGCTCAGCATGGGGTATGGCTATGGGAACATAGCAGCAAACCAGAGAGACATGGGGTTTGCAGGCTTGAAGGGAAGCAGGATGACAAAGGAGTGATAGCAGGGTGTTGAAGTTTAGAAAAGGGATGTCGTCAGGCAACAGTGGGAATGGAGAGAAAGATGTGGGGAAAGACAAGTGTAAAGGAGAGGCTGTCAGGAGCTGTGGGTCCTAGAATGTGTCCTCTAACCCTCCTGCATTCCATGCCTCTCACAGGCCCACGACTGTGGGCCTACCGTCTCCCTCTCCCCTCCGTAGGCTCCCAATCCCACCACGCCCTTCTCTCCTCCGGGACTATCTCCTGCATGTCTCTCATGGTGTCACAATCCTCTCTCAATCCCACAATGCCCTTCTGTCCTCCAGGACTCTCTCCGTGTCTTTCATGGTCCCACAATCCTCTCCCTTCTACAACTCCGCGAGTGCTTCTCCCAACCCCACAGCCCCCTCTCTGTACCATAACTCTCCCCATATTACTTATGATATCACAATCCTCCTTTTCTCCTATCAGTACTTCTCACAATCCCACAGTCCCCCTCTCTCTTCCGTGACTCCCCAATGTCTTCCATTGTGCCACACTCTTCTTCCCCCAACTTCTACTCCATGCTTCTCCTTCCCACAATCCCCTTCCCTCCTCCAGGACTCTTCCTCTCCCCTCTTCAATTTCCCTTTCCTGCCCCCCACTATCATACTTCATAGCTCACCCCCTGCTTTCCTCCACAAATATCCCCTAGCCTCAGGGTTCTCCCTTCTCCCCCTGACTTCTCATCTCCACACATGTGCACACGCAGAGAGAGAGAGAGAGAGAGAGGGCAGCGGCCCTTTCAGTTCCTGTGGCCTCTCCTCATACCACAGCCGAGGGGCGGTATTGACGCAAGGCCAAGACACCTGAGGCAGAGCCCTGTAGCTGCCCCCGACCCAGACCGTGGGTGGCAAACAGCACATGGCTGAGGTAACCACACAAGCCATCCAGTCCTCCAGTCCCTCATGCCTGCCTCACTCTCTAGGGACCCACACAAGGAAAAGAGCAGGTGACTCCAGGGAAGGCACCCTGCTGTTCTCCACCAGTCACGCCCGGAGCCGGAAAAGCATTCACACCCATGCCCAGAAGTGGCTGCTCTTTGAGGGTGGTTTGGGGCAGAGTCCATGATGGACAGGATCTCTACTTTCCACAGAAAGGCCTAGAAGCTTCCTCAGGATGAGGGGTATCTGTATTTGCAGATCTGTCCTCAAGCCCAGGAAACCCTTTCCGTCTGGCTGCCGTGGTACCTGAAATTCCCTCATTAACTCACTTGGGCAGGCGGGGGGGGGGGGTGACATTGAAGGGGCCAGGAGCAGAGTGACTGCTTACCTGCTTCTCAGCCAAAGTTAGACTGCTCCCCACCCTCCTGAGGGGGGCTTTGTGGCCCCTGAGACCCCACCTGGCTCTCCCACCTCTGTATTTCATCAAGGGGACCACCAGACAGGAGCCCAGCTCTGGCATCCACGCACACACGCATTCATTCACCCAGTCACTGTTGAGCACCTACTCCGGGTCCCAGACCTCAAGCCAGGTAATAGGGCTACAGCAGTGAACACGACAGCACAGACCCGGCTTCCTGGAGCCCTCGTTCCAGAGCAAGACGACAGGCAGCAACAGATGAAGGGAGGGAGCCCTCCCACTGGGCTCTCCTCCACTGCCCCCGGCAGACCTGCCCTTCTCCGCATTAGCTTCATCTCTGCACCCAGTGCCCAGAGAGGCCAGTGCACAGTAAGTGCCAGGGGTCACCTGATGAAGGATGGAAGAGAAAGGGAGGGAGGAAAGGCAGTCAGTGAGTTCCACAGAAGAGCCACACGTGGGTGCCAGGACATTCCAGAGAAACACGCATTGGCTGGAGAAAACTTTTTTTTTTTTTTTTTAGCATGAAAGCAGTACCAAACAGCATGTGACCCTAAGCTACTTCAGGAGGCCCTTAGGGGCCAAGCAGGGCCTCTGAGATCTAATTATGAAAATTGGTTTAGGTTTCCACCCTGAAGCACCAGAAAGCACATTAAAGACTAGCCCCAGCAGCAAGGTTGGAGAGAGCTGATACTGCATGTACGATCCCAGTTTACCAGTGCCACCGAGTTGATGCTCCACAGGATGTTTAATGGGTGCTTTTTCACCAAGTCTTTCTTCCAAGGCACCTCTGGGTGGACACGAACCCCCTACTTCTTGGTTAGCAGCCAAGTGCATTACTGTTTGTGCCCCCAGGGACTCCTCACCCAGAGTGGTGTCTCCGGATTCCTCACCCAGGATAGAGCAGTGTCCAGAGGGAGCCCTCACTCAGGGCAGAGAGGTGTGTTAAGAGCATGGACTCCAGAGTCAGAAAGAGCTGGGTTCGAGTCCCAGCTCTGCCACTTGGTGACCTCAGTTTACTCATCTCTACAGTGGGACTTGAAGCACACGGACCTCATAGGATTGAATGAGGTTATGCACCCAAAGCACCTGGTTGATAGAAAGTGCCCAATAATATTAGCTGCCAGAACTTGGTGAATGCGTACTTTGTGTCATGCAAAGTACTTGCTCCAACAGAGAGCAAAATGGCTTCACAGGGCCAACTAGGAATAATGTTTAGGTTCAGTCCCATAAGTTAAGATTTGAAACTAGATCTGTTGGACTCCAAATCCTCTGGATGTTGGCTGCACCTCAGGGGCCTCTGTGGGTGTAGCTACATCGATTGTCCTGATTCTCTGTCCAGTGCTCGCTCCATTTAAGGACTTTACCTCCCTGAATTTCCTCAACTTCCACTCTTAGGGGGGAAAAAAACCTGTCCCTGTGGGCCCAGACTCTCTACCTGCACACATTCGTGGGGATAGGAATGAAAGACCTGTCACATTAAGAAAAAGTAAAGTTAGTGGGTTTGGACTTTGATAACAAGAAAACACTTCCCAGACATGTTCCAGAAGAAAGAGAGAGAGAGAGAAATGGCTTTTCAGACTTTTTTTCCCTCCAAGAAGCGTTACAAAGTTTGCTTGCTTTGGGGTTTAGGCTGTAATGGGGGCAGATGAAGAGCTTGTTACCAGGAATATAAAAGATATTTTTCCCCAGGAAGGAAAAAAAGGCAGAGGAGATCAAAAAGTACTGATTTCTTCAGCCACCTCTGTGGTGAGAACAGAAGATTTGTGTGAGATGTTTCATGCAGATCCTCACAGTGAAATACTCAGGGGAAGGACCCTTGAACTTGTCCCATCTGACCTGTCTGGGGAATGACATTGCTCACTGGAAAAAATGTTTCCCTGGGGAGACCGGAGTATCCACTTCCTTTGGTTGTGTCCACTGTGGGGATTCCAAACTTCTCTGACCTCAGGTTCCTTCTGGTGGCTGTTTTCCACCACAGGGAACATAGGAAACAGAGACCAGAACAGAAAGGGGTGGGAAGGGGCAGGGGAGAGAGGCCAGGCAGGGTGTAGAAGCCTGTGTCCCTTTGGGACTGACTCCCTAATTATAACTCAGCTCAGCCACCATTAACTGAAAGGTTGTTCATGTACCAGGCCCTGGGCTGGGCAGAGGGATCCTGGGATGGCTCAGACCCAGCCCACGAGGAGCGCAATGTATGTGAAGACAGTTTTCAGGATCTTGCTAGAATCAGTGTTCTTATCCTTGAATTGACTTTTCAGCTTCCCAGCCACAGTGGATGCTTTGGATTCACAGCCATCTAAAAAGTCCCAGCTGGAAGGCCGTAGCAGCTGCCTTAATCCGTCAGGATAGTAGAGGAAAATTCAGTTGCCCAAGATCACACAACAGATCCGTAGCAGAACCTAGGCCTGGCAGTCATGTTTCCTGGCCCCAATTCTTACCACTGAGAACCAGAGTTTCTGGTGAGAATTAGCCTGACATAGAGAGACAGAGATAGAAAGAGAGAGATTGTGGTTGGTCCTCTGTGTCTGTGGGTTCGGCATCCACTGATTGAACCAACCACAATCAAAAATATTTGGAGGACAATCAATCAATCAGCAGTTAAATGATGAAAGCAATCCCTCAAAGGCTAAGAGGGAGTGGAAAGGGCTATTTACTAGCATTTACGTTGTATCTGGTATTATAAATAAATAATCTAGAGATGATGTAAAGTGTCGGGGAAGATGTGAGCGGTTATATGCAAATAATGGGAGCTCTGGTAGTGTAGTGCCTAAGGCACTTGATTGCTAACCAGAAGGCTGGCGGTTCAAACCCTCCAGCCACTCTGTGGGAAAAAGATGAGGCAGTCTGCTTCCCTAAAGACGTACAGCCTTGGAAATTCAGTGGGGGTCACTGTGAGCCAGAGTCAACTTGATATCAGCTGAGTTTGGTTTTTTAATACACATATATACTTACTGGAGAGCTCCGGTAGCATAGTGTCTAAGGCACTTGACTGCTAACCAGAAGGCTGGCGGTTCAAACCCACCAGCCACTCCTCGAAAGGAACATGGGACAATCTACTTCCGTAGTGATACCACCTCAGTAACCCAAGGAGGGATCGCTATGAGTTGGGTCCAACTGGCTGGTAACAACAACAACAACCACCTATGTAAATAATAGGCCATTTTGTATAAGGGACGTGAGCATCCGGGGATTTGGGTATGGTGGGGAGGGGGTCCTGCCACCAATCCTGGAGGACGCTGAGGGAGACTGTATTACCAAAATAAGAAATAATTTTTAAAAAGAGTTGGCAGAGGGAATGAAGGCATAAAGGCCTGAGGAGAGAACCTATGTGGAGTCCAAGACCTAGGAAAAGAGAAGACAAGAGAGTGGGCTTGATGGGCATTGGGTGGGTGACGCTGAGGGGATGAAATAGTCCAGCTGTTCCTCTGGCCTGCCAACACCTGACTCCTTCAAAACCGTCTGCAGCCGCCTGTGCCTGGGCAGTCACCTGCATAGGGCTTCTGTGATTCGGGGAAGGCCCTTCCCAGCTCTGCGCTCAGTTTTCCCATCTGTAGAAAGAGCGGGATGAGCTCCTAGGACGTCTCAGACTCCTCTCTCTCCCCAGATGGGAGCTGGACTTCCTGTGAGAAACAGCGGGCTCCCTGTGGAACGGGTTTCGCTTCAGGCGTGTGTTCTGCCCCAGCCCCAGAGAACAGGCCTCCCCCTTCCCTCTTCTCAATGAACCCTGGGTCAACTCCAGGCCATGTCATTTTTTGTTCTATGGAGCCCCCACCTTCACTGTTTCCGGCTTTGTGGAAAGCCTTGACCTTGGGCCAAAGGAGAAGAGGCCAACCCTGACCCTGGGCGGAGGCCAGGGTGAGAAAGAAGGGGGTGGAAACCAGCTCCCCAAAGAAAAGTGCAGCAAAGGCCAGCAGTCTCCGGATCTCGGGCGTATCGCTATAGCCCGGCGAATTCAGGCCGAATTGAGTTTAACCCAGCGGAGTTGATTCAGATTGAAATGAAGAGAGCTGGTTGTGGCTTTGAGTGTCTCTGTGAGTCGGAATGGACTGGCTGGCTGTGAGTTTGGTGAGGCTGGTTTTTTGTTTGTTGTTTGGCTTGGTCGTGCCCTCTGCAGGCGCCGGACTGGGCGCTTTGTGTAGAGAACATCGCCATCTAGTGGCCACTTCGGTCCTGAGCCCTGAGCCCGTCCTGAGAGGCCATACCCAGCTTTCAGGGTAATCCGCCTGGGGATCCCTCAGCCCTTCTTTCTCTCCCTGCAGGTGATGGACAGCTCCATGCCCCTGATTGGAGAGCATGTGGAAGAGGACAGACAGCTGATGGCCGACCTGGTGGTTTCCAAAATGAGCCAACTCCTGATGCCAGGGGGCACAGTGCCCTCACCCCTGAGACCTTGGGTAAGATTCCGGGAGCCAAGGAGACTCTGTAGCCATGAGAGGTGCTGGGCTGTCTAGCAATGGGGAGCCCCTGGTTCCAAGGGAGATACCCCCACACAGGGCCCAGGTTGGGCAGAGGCCCTGCCAGGGGGAGAGCTTCTGTGCCCTGCTCGGGACTGGTGAGTTTGGGAGCCTCTACAAGGGCCCTTCCTCCCTCCAGCACCCTGGGGAGAAAAATCTTGTCTCCACTGGCCTTTGGCCATCTGTGGGCAGAGACTGTTGACAGTTGATCACCCACCTTCAGTTGTGCCCTCCATCCTGAGCCTGGAGTGTGGGGCGGGGGGACACATATGACTGTGTGTGTACACATACGCCCTTTATGTGTCCCCAGGGCACCAATCTATGGAGACTCCTGTGTCTTATATGTCCCCCAGGCTCAACAAGCTCCCACATACCTCGTCCCCTCCAGTCCCCACATGGACTACCTCACAATTCTCCAAATCATTTGCTAGCCTCAAATCTTTCTGCAAAAGCCAGTGTCAAAATCTCCCATCTCTTCCTTGCAACAACTAATCTACACAACAGAGGTCAGGATAATGGTTATCCTTGAGGGGGGTGCTGGCTGGGAGGGGCCCACAGCACAGCCTTCTGGGAAATATCTATGTCTTAATTTGGGTTGTGGTTACACATATGTAAACATATATAAAAATTCATCACACTCAAGACTTAAGATGTGCCCACTGCATATGAGTTTCACTTCAGTAATAACAAGATCTTTTTAAAAACCTGCCCCCCTGTATACACACACACACCCAGGGAGTCAGTGGCCATGGTGACCACAACAGGCTTCTTTTCTCCTGCACTAGGGTCCACCGATGAAGCCAGCAAAATCTCCAGGACAAGGTCAGCTGGGGCCTCAGCTTGGACAGCCCCAGCCGCGCCCACCCACACAAGGTATGACCTATGGCCTGCCAACAAGGGAACGCACCTCAGTGAGGCTGTCAGATGCATTATGGGAGCCATGTTTGTTTTCCAGGCATACTCTGGGAAATCCATCTTAATACTTTATCTACAGAATAGTGCATTGTCACCACATGAAGAATGGTGAGAGGACAAGATTGGATGTCCCCTTGAAGTCAAGAAAGGAGGAAGGGCAGACAGGAAGTGAATTAAGCACCTGACACACCATTTGTGCTGGTGCTTCCCCATTTGTTTGCTTATGTTATCCTCCCACCATCCTACCATGAAAACGTTAGTATCTCCTTGCAGAGGTGGAAGTTGAGGCTTTGCCCAAGGATGCACAACAAGAAAATGGCAGGTTTACAAGCCTGGCCTTTCAGATCTCATAGAAAGCATTTAAGCTTACTAGTCGCTCGTTATGCCTAAGGAGCTCTGGTAGCATAGTGCCTAAGGCACTTGACTGCTAACCAGAAGGCTGGTGCTTCAAACCCACCAGCCACTCCTTGGAAGGAAGGTTGGGCAGTCTACTTCTGTAGTGATATCGCCTCGGAAACCCAAGGAGGGGTCACTATGAGTCGGGCCGACTCAACGGCAAATAACAACAACAGTTGTGCCTGATTATAGATATGTGAGCCAACCAGCTAGAGCACAAAAGAAAAATGGAACATTAAACATAACTTCAGTTGAAATTCTTCCTCAAAAAATATTCAGTCATTCCTACGTTGTTGTTAGTTACAGCGACTCAGTTCTGATTCATGATGACTTCATGTATCACAGAATGAAATGTTGCCCAGTCCTGCACCACCTTCCAGGACTTCATTGGACCATATTCTGTTATGATCCATAAGGTTTTGTGTATGTATGTTTACTTTTTATTGTGATTTGGGTGAAAGTTTACAGAGCAAATTCATTTTCCATACAGCAGTTCATACACATTTTGCCTCAAGACACTGACTGCAATGCCCTGCGGTGTAACAGGTCTCTTCCCACTTCCTCCCCACAGTTACCTCTTCCCTGTGTCCCTCCTTCCATGCACTCCTGCTCCCTGCCATCAGCTGTCTTCTTATGCAAACACTGCCCTTCTGTTCACCCATGACTGAGTGCTCCAAGGAATGTATCTACCTGATGTAAATGTTCACCCCATATGCCTGTCTATTGTTTGGCTGGAAACCACAGGAGTGAGTTCAATAACACACCTGAAGGGTGGCCAGGGGCCATAGTCTCAAAGGTCTCACTAGGCTCTATCAGATCAGCAAACCTGGACTTTTTTTTTTATGATTTTGAGTTCTGTTCCACATTGTTCTACCCTATCCAGGATCTCCTGCACTGATCCCCCTCCAAGTGATTGACAGTGATAGCCAGCCACCATCTAGTTGTTCTGGTCTCACGGTCATATAGGCTGAGATCACATGGTCTACCAATCCCTTGAATTAATTGTTTCCATGCATCTTTGGTTTTCTTCATTCTTCTTTGCTCTGGACGAGAATAGACCCATTGTTGCCTCTAAATGGCCACTTGCAAGCTTTTAAGATCCTAGTCGCTACTCACCAATGTAAGATGTAAAACAATGCTTTTGCATAGTATGTTATGCCAATTGAGCTTGATGTCCCCTGCAGCCATGGTCCTGAGCCCACAGATCCAATTACTCTTTCCCTCTGGGTAGCTGGCTGTGGCCAAAAAGTGACTACAACCTTGTCCCTTGTCAGCTGTACTATACACCTAGACATTCTTACAGCATGTACAAAAATGCTTGTAGAAACGTTGTCTGCTAACCCTATACATATTCATAAGCACACTACCTCCTGCCTAGACATACCTGATTGTTCAGCCTGTCCCCCCATCTATCCACCCGTAGATCAATGTTTGCCATCACTGACAATACAGTAATGTACATGCAAAAGGGTTCGTCTTTGTTGTCTATACTTCCCATGTACCTCTCTCTGTCTTCCTCTTCCTCTGCCACCGTGTTGATCACTCACATTTGGTACATTGCCTTTCTCTTCACCCGAATTAATACTTACCTCCACCTAACAGTGTTCCCTCCTCTCCCCTCCCACCCCTAGTAACCAACAAAGAAAGTCTCCTTCCATATATAAACCTTTCCTTGACTTTTTACAATAATGAACTAATATAATATTTGTCCTTCTGTGATTGACTTATTTCACTCAGCATAATGTCCTCCAAGTCCATCCATGTTATGCAGTGCTTTGTAGATTCTACATTACATCTACAATGTAGTAGTAGTGTTGCATAGTATTCCATTGTGTGTATGTACCATAGTTTGCTTATCCATTCTTCTGTTGATGGGCACCTAGGTTGTTTCCATCTTTTTGCTGTTGTAAATAGTGCTGTGATGAACATGGGTGTGCATATATCTGTTCTTGTCCTGGCTCTCACTTCTTTAGGATATATACCTAGTAATGGGATTGCTGGATCAAATGGTGTTTCTAATTCCAGCTTTCTAAGGAAATCACCATACTGCTTTCCACAGTGGTTGTATCATTTGACAGTCCCACCAGCAGTCCCTGAGAGTCCCAATCTCTCCACATGCTCACCAGCATTTGTTATTTTCTGTCTTGTTGAACTTTGCTACTAGTGCTGGGGTGAGATGGTATCTCATTGTTGTTTTGATTTATATCTCTCCGATGGCTAATCATCAGGAACACTTCCTTATGTGCTTAGCGGCCGCCCAGATCTCCTCTTTGGTGAAGTGTCTATTCATGTCTTCTGGCCACCTTTTAATTGGATTGTTTGTCATTTTGTTGTTGACGTGTTGGACTTTTCTATAAATTCTGGAGCTCAGTCCCCCGTCAGATATGTCCTTGCCGACGATCCACAAGGTTTTCATCGGCTGATGTTTAGAAGTAGATCACCCGGCCTTCCTTCCCAGCCTGTCTTAGTCTGGAAGCTCTGCTATAAACTGTCCACCACGAGTGGCTCTGGTGGTATTTGAAATACCAGTGGCATGTTGTTGTTGTTCGGTGCCGCTGAGTCAGCTCCAACTCATAGCAGCCGTATACACAACGGAACGAAACGGCACCTGGTCCTGTGCCGTCCTTACAGTCCCTGCTCTGCGTGAACCCGTCGTCACAGCCACTCTGTCAATCTGTCTCGTTGAGGGTCTTCTCTCGCTTTTTCTCTGACCCTCCACTTAACCAAGGATGATGTCCTTCTCTTGGGACTTCCTTTCTGTGCTGTGATGGCATGGCTTCCAGCATCACAGCAACCCACAGGCCACCGCGGTAGGACAAACTGAAAAGCCAGTGCCACCATTTCTTAGAGGACGGATAAACTCTTGATAACTAGATAAAAAGAAGCCGTGGCAATCACTCAAGTACAGTTCTCGCTGCAAGGCCCCTGCTTTCTTGCAGTGTTGGGAGACAGCTCACTCAGCCTCCCCCTGGAATCAAATGCCTCAGGACTATGCATTGCTCCAGTGCCTGCCTCAAGGTTTCGAGAAGCTCTGCACCAAGAAGCTGTAACAGGCAGCCTGACTGCAATCTTTGAAGGGCCTGCTTTAAACTCTTTCAGAGGGAAGGGGTTCCTGTCCTGTTGTGGTGTTCCCTGTCACCTTTATTAAAGGAGCATACTCATTGCTTCTTGGGAAAACCAGCCCTTGGCACTTAATGCCTTTCTCTTCCCGGGACCGTAGATGAAATGGCCCATCAATCTTTCTTGTTTATGCTTGTCTCCCTAGAAAAGCAGCAAGCATTTAAGGAAAGGAAAGTGGCTTAATTGTTCAAACCCAAGTACAAATGAACTCTTCTTGTTCAGGCAGAAGCATGTGTTTGAATCCAGTTCTATGTTTCACAGCCTTTGCAGTCATAAGCAAGTTCCATCACTTCTCTGATATGTCACCTTCTTCAGTTATAAAGTTAGCAGTTACTGGGAGATGCTCGTGACATCATGCGTGTGGTCTAATTCACAGTTAGCAAGGTGCCTGGCACAGAGGTGGTGTATAGTAGGTCTCTCAGTGTCCTAGTGCTGGTGTAACAGAAATACCACAGTAGGTCCTTGAGGCACTTGACTGCTAACCAGAAGGCTGGTGGTTCAAACCCACCAGCCACTCCTCAGAAGGAAGATTGGGCAATCTACTTCCATAGAGATACCACC